GCTTAGAGGTATTTGAAAGACTTGCTTGGGTCACAATAAATCATGTTGCTCGTCGCATGTTTTCGATAATAGAGCGCTTAAGCTGATCGATACGAAACAAAAATCTAAGAAAAATCTGATGCTTTCTTTGGCTTTTTTGTTGTTGCTTTTTTGGAACTCTCGTTTCGTCTCCTATTTGAGGACGCTAACTTTCGCTCTCTATTTGCGCAACGAACGGAGTTTGAGCGATACCACGATCTATGGCAACTCCTCCTGCCCTAACTGACTCGACGCCGAGGCCTCGTCGATGAGTAGGTCGCCGAAGGAGATGTCGGTCTCGGCGCCGTCCGCCATCGTCTACGCTGGAGGAGGGGGGAGGAGGGGGGGGGGTACAGTATTCGTTTCATCTCTGATGTGCTTACAGACAATAGGACATTTCATACCAATATTTGAGACGTCTTTTTTGTCGATTTCTATGGGCGGATGCTACAGTCCATGATTTGTAAAAGGGTTAGGCATAAAAATCATGGATAGTGTACAGGATATTTATCAGGAGTAACCTCAACATCAACAAATGTTGCAGTAAACACCTCAAGTTTAGTTTTAGCCAATACGTAATCAACAAAGCAAAGTCGATTTTTTTAAGTCAGGCGGTAGTCGCACCGGGCAAGCGGTTGAGGGCAACCAAAGGAAGTTCAGCCATAGTAAGCGCGTCGCCAAGCTCCGCATGCACTGGACAGTAGAATCGCACCGGCAAGCCCGTTATGTAGAGATAAGCTCTCTGCTTTTTGATAGTCTCGCGGCCATAGTGGACAAGCAGTAGCAGTGCCGGCTGCAACCAGCACCGCGGCCAAGAATGAAGCGGCAGTCGATGCCGAATATCTACTCGGGATTGCAGATGTACTCGGAGGCGTAGCAGAAGCCAAACCCGCGGAGGATACTGCAAGGATCTCAATGCTACTACAGCGATACTGCGTGTACATTACGAAAAATTCCATCATTAACATAATTCACGCGTACGGATATTATATATCTTTTTATTAAAGTTTTATAATTTCATTGTTCGTCTCCGATATACAGTAATATCCATCCTTGCGGGACTCCACATGCGGTATACGGGGAGGTATTGACCACATATTCACCAGCTACTATCCCTTCATCAACCGATTCTACATCGCCTGGCGTGTTCGTACAACGACGTGAGTTATGCCCGGGTACCCCGCAGGTGCTGCAAGTGTATTGCGATCTAGATTTTGTTGTGGGGCCTAAAATCGACTCTCCAATCTCAGTCAGCATATTGCTCACAGTTGAGGCCTGGTCAGGCTCTGTGGAAGGTGGAGGTCTAGTATAAGGAACCTCCCCGTTGCTAAGATATCGTTTTGCGTAGTTTTGACGATCCTTCTTAGGCTTGAGAGGACCTACAGCACGTCCGGCTTGGCGATAGTGAGGTGGGGGATGCATCGCTACATCCGAGTCCAGCTCGGACTCAATCGGCAAGAAAATTGAAACATCTTTGAAGGCCCTGTGAAATGAGGAGATCGTGTACGCGCGATGGAAAGTTCGTAGAAGCTCTTCTCTAATGCTTAAACTTCTGTTGACACATTTCTCCTTGTAGATGGCTGCAATTAAGTGCCGCCAATTTTACAAACCATGGGCAATCTTGACCTGTGCATTTCCAGAGTTTGGAGGATCCAGTGTACGACTCTAGAGAGATCGATTTCCTGTCGTTAAGCGCAACGTCTTTTAAAAAGAGGCCTGCGTCCTCTGCAGATTGAAAATAGTCATGCAGTGTGACATCGGTACGACCATGTCGCTCCAAAAGATTAAGCAGACACATGTAGAGATAATGAGTAGGCCTAACAAGGCGCATACCGAGCACATTAGCAGCAATACGATTTTATGATTACATATTTTCCAGCGAGCTTACCACTTGAATCCAGGGGGGGGGGAATGGAGGATAGAACTCGTCTTTTTTTGTTTTGGCCTCAAGCCGTTTTCTTTCGTGGCGTATTTATATACATGTTCTAATTGGCTAAAACTAAACTTGAGGTGTTTACTGCAACATTTGTTGATGTTGAGGTTACGCCTGATAAATATCCTATCCTAGTGTACATGTATTTCTAAGTTTTTCCATGATTACGCTAAAAAATTACGACAGCTCGGTAGAATATGCTCATATAGTTTATGTCATGTACAGACATGGCCAATCATAGTGACAGGAGATCATAAACATTGAAGAATAAGCGAGATGCTGCTGCTTTGTTTTGCATGATCACTCCTAAATTACATGAATGACCTATTGTATGTCATAAAACTAATGCAAGGATCCTAATGTAAACATTGTAAAATCATGGGTAGCATAAAAACATGGCTAGCATGTAAAAAATGCACGATCATCTTTGGCCTTAGAGTCTGTGGCTAGCCCTATACTGTATTTTCCTGTAATTACATCACTCTGCTACTTCGTCGTTTCCTTGCTTGCGTCCCTAAATTTCACAATGGAACGCCCACTTTTGTATAATCGCTACCTGCTTCCTTCCAAACTGTCGCCGGACACACAGGCACACGAATACTCACAGTTATCGCTGCTCTTCTGGATGTAGGTCTCCACCGACGTGACACTGTAGGTCTGTGGTAGACGACTATTCTTCACTAGTTCTTCCGCTTACTCTGTGAGCAAGTTTTGAGTCGCGCGTTTGTTCATGCTATCGTAGCAATAGACAGTTTCTTTAACTTTATCCACCACGAGACAGACCCAGTGACTTCCGTTGATGTTCAAGGGCAAGAGGACAAATTGCTCCACTCAGCGTCTTGGGCGGAATACGCATTTCTTTTTTTGGCGTCCTCGGGCAAAAATATCGTAGTTGCATCCATAGACATCTTGTAGAGTCTTTGTAAATTTGAAAATAAGTTTGTCGCTGTACCAACACTCACTGCGTGTACAGTATCCACGGTATATCCATACCGTCCATCAATCCAGGAAGCCATTGTAATGACCAAATATCTATCAATCGTTTCGCAACGGCAGCAGGGGCTTCATGCGCGATGTTGTCGTCCACTATTCTCATAAGCCAGAAATAGCACTGTATTCCTTGTACACATGTATGCACATGACTCTATACGTATTGCACACTCATCATTTGTATGTGTGTAACGTCTCCAATACCGTCCACTGTAAGAATTCAACACTCGCAATTATCATCCACTGGCGTACACAGATCCATCACTTGTCCTAACAGGATTTTCATCCCGATGATTCGTATGCCTTCGTGAATAAAGTCGGTACGATACAATTGAAGAGGTAGGTACACGCGACGACAGACAGAACGATTTGTTCTGATACTTCTGGTGCTGAACTTCAAATGCTTAAAGAAAAGACGCCACATCGCTAAGTGGGGTTTCGCAAGACTAGATAAATTCTGCAACTTCTACGACATCATCGCCACACATAGCACTTCGCAGTTTCGAACCTTGATTGGACTTCTTAAGCGATTGTTTGCGCTGTGCTGCCTCTGCAGCTTTGATTTTGGTGGTAGCAATGAGGTTGTACACGTCTTTTAACTGAGCATAATGAGGTGTTTGGTCTCGAATGAAGTCGTAGATTCTGTTTGCCTTACTCTAACTCGCCATCATCAGCTTCATATCGTTCATGATCGGCGAATCCTTGAGCAGCTGACGCACAAACGGGTATGCTCGGTAAATTTTATCGGAGAGGAAATAGTTGTGCGCAAAAAAACCTGTTTGGTTTCGATTCGCAGCTCTCCATCTCTGCGCTGAACTTACTGAGCTTTAAATCGCAGCGGGCACCCAACACCTATCAAATTGTGCCGTAGTCTGTATCCTTTTGAGCGAGCCTGCATTTTCTAGCCGCTCGTGATGTACACCCTCTGGCACGGATCCATATCGTCTGGTACAAGAGACAACTCAGAGGGATCCTTGCCAGCATGCAACTTAATTTGGGCAATGTTTGGATTCCGCAGCCGAACATATGAGACGGCGTCAAACGAAAAGGTGCTTACAAACCTAAGTACGAATCGCGATTTAGGCACATCATTGGAAAGAGGATGATCTCCTCTCTTGATTGGTGCATTCAGATCTACAAAAATTACAAAACTCACTGAGCGACGATCCTTAGAAAACCATGTCTCCTTGAAAAAAAATTTTCGGAAAAAATGTTCGTAGACCCCTGGAAACAATTTTTCTTACTGAATCGATTGCACCTGGTCCCAGTATCTAATTTGCACTTCTTCCTTTTTAAATATGTGTTTGAAGTTGGAGATCTCAATTTTGAGGGGATATTTTGAATTTTTGGGTACATCATTTTAATTTTTTTAAGGTATTTGTGTTATAGGGATGGAAGGGA